TTTGCAAAAACACCAGTTCTTCAACTTGAAAGAGCAATCAGAGAAGGATGAAGGGCCATTAACTCTCACCCTACCCCTGGCTCTGAGAGGACTAAGGAGTCTTGGGTGGGCTTTCTGGGTTTAGGACTGGAATCTGGGTGGGCCTAGGGCATCTGTACTCATTAGGAAGAACCTCTCTCCTTCACTCTGGAACCAGAGATTTGGGGGACCCCGAGGTCATTAAATGTTAAAATTGAGTAACAGTTACTGAATGCTTACAAATGAGGCACGATGGTGGTAACTACAGAGGAGCCAGATTTGAAGATGATATGAACTCTCTGGAAATCATTATGTAACAACAGGACAAGCACTATTAGAGAGGACTATACAAACTGCAATGGTCCACAGTAGGGAGCTCGGGAGAAAAGAGGGGGCTTCACAGAGGGAATGACACTTGAGCTAGGCATTAAAAGATGAATTTAGGGACTGACGTGGTATAGTGGGCTAAGCCACTGCCTGTGATGCCGGCATCCCACATGGGTGCCGATTCAAGTTCCGGCAGCTCCACTTCTTCTTCTTCTTCTTCTTCTTTTTTTTTTACTTTTATTTAGCAGATATAAATTTCCAAATTACAGTTTATGGACTGCAATGGCTCCCCCCCCCATAACTTCCCACCCACCCACAACCCTCCCATCTCCCACTCCCTCTCCCATTCCATTCACATCAAGATTCATTTTTGATTATCTTTATATACAGAAGATCAATTTTAGTATATATTAAGTAAAGATTTCATCAGTTTGCCCCCACACGGAACACAAATTGCCAACTACTGCTTGAGCACTAGTCATATCATTAATTCACATTGAACTACACATTAAGGACAGAGATCCTCAATGGGGAGTAAGTGCACAGTGACTCCTGTTGTTGACTTAACAAATTGACACTCTTGTTTAAGGCGTCAGCAATCTCCCCAGGCTCTAGTCATGAGTTGCCAAGGCCATGGAAGGCCTCTGCCGGCAGCTCCACTTCTGATCTGTCTCCCTGATAATGTGCCTGAGAAAGCAGCAGAAGATGGCTCAAGTGGTTGGGACCCTGCCACTCATGTGGGAGACCTGGATGGAGTTCCAGACTCCTGGCTTGTGGCCATTTGGAAAGTGAACTAGCAGATGGAAGAGCTGTGAGCTGTTTTTCCTTCTCTCTGTAACTTGGCCTTTCAAATAAATAAGTTAATTAAAAATAATAAAAATAAAAGATGAATTTAAACAAGAAAATGGGGAGGGTAGACATTCAAGGAAGAGAGGGCCGGCGCCGCGGCTCACTAGGCTAATCCTCCGCCTTGTGGTGCCGGCACACCGGGTTCTAGTCCCGGTTGCCTCTCTTCCAGGCCAGCTCTCTGCTGTGGCCAGGGAGTGCAGTGGAGGATGGCCCAAGTACTTGGGCCCTGCACCCCATGGGAGACCAGGATAAGTACCTGGCTCCTGCCATCGGATCAGCGCGGTGCGCTGGCCGCGGCGGCCATTGGAGGGTGAACCAATGGCAAAGGAGGACCTTTCTCTCTGTCTCTCTCTCTCACAGTCCACTCTGCCTGTCAAAAAAAAAAAAAAAAAAAAACAGGAAGAGAGAACAGAGTACATAAAAGTGTAGAGGCAAGAGAGTTTCTTGTGCTTTTAATCAATAGTGAATCTCCTACGGATAGAAAATAAGTAATGATAGGCAGGAATGTACCAGATGGTAAAAAGTTTCCAAAAACATTCTAGGGGTCTTTATGTATTCCTAAGGTCACTAAGGAGTTCTAAGCAAGAGGGAATGATCACTCTCTGTGAGAGAGAATTTAAGGTTTATCAAGGACCATGAGAAATGGACTTGTAATGGGTATTAGAGTCTCCTGATTTCCCCTATAGGAGCAAATCTCTCTGGTTTGACTTTTTCTCTGGGGAATTGGGCCTACCCTGGTCTCAACTCATTGTGGGATGGGGATGGAAGTAGAAATGGGGTCATTGAAAGGAACATTGAGAGAAGAGACCAGATTGAATAGTTTACATCAGCATTACAAAACGAAAGGTGAGTGAAAATGAAAGGTGAGTGATAGAACACCGTATAAGAAGTAGATTCACTCAAAGTGACTAGCTCTTCATTTAGAGCTAATTTGTACTGACACAATACAGTCTGTACCAAAACGGCTGCAAACTTGCTCAGCAGAACTCAATGCTACTCATAGGTAGCATTCCCAAGTTCCTCTGTATTTCATGTCACAGTTTCCCTGCTTGCTTTCAACAGTTTCCCCTGCTTGCTTTTCATAATCTACATTTTTACCCTGTGTGATGAGGTTGCTAATATTGATAAAATAAAACAAAACAAAAACCTACCTTCTTTTAAGAGGTCTGCTCCCTGGGCCCTTTCAGTAATCAGGCTTAAACATTAATTTGAGGGGCCAGCGCTGTGGCAGGGTATGTATGCCAGCATCCCATAAAGGCACCAGTTCAAGTCCTGGCTGCTCCACTTCCAATCCAGCTCCTTGCTAATGTATCTGGGAAGGCAGTGGAGAATGACCCAAGTGCTTGGGGCCCTGATACCTGAGACCTGGATGAAGCTGCTGGTTCCTGGCGCCATCTTGGTCACTGTGGCCATTTCGGGAGTGAACCAATAGAGAGAAAATCTGTCTCTTCCTCCCTCTCTTTGTAACTCTGTCTTTCAAATAAATAAGTAAGTCTTTAAAAAATTAATTTGAAAGAAAATAAAGTTTAAATTTAAAACCCATAAAGGTCCTTAGACTCTATTTCTTCCAGTACTCTCATTGTATTCATTCATTCATTCATTCATTCAAGATTTATTTATCTGAGATGCGCAGTTACAGAAAGAGAAAGGGAGAGATACATCTTCCATCTGCTGGTTAACTTCCCAAATGGCCATAATAGCTGGAGCTGGGTCAATGAGAAGTCAGGAGCCAGAAGCTTCTTCTGGGTCTCCCACACAGGTGCAGGGGCCTAAGCACTTGGGTCTTCTTCCACTGCTTTTCCAGGCCATAAGCAGAGAGCTGGATCAGAAGTGGAGCAGCCGGGACTCAAACCGGAGCCCATGTAAGATGCTGGCACCTCAGGTAGAAGCCTAACCTACTAAGCCATGGTGCCAGCCCCTAGAAATTTCATTTTAAAAATGAGGCCCAAAAGAAGAGTGACTTAAAATCTAAAAGTTGGCAAGAATTAATTTAGCTCCTAAATTTTAATGTTCTCAAGGTGACAAATTTGTCATAGAACATAAATAATAAGAATCAGGATGATCTTTAATATCTTTTGACATTGCTTCTTTTATAAATATTTAAATGTTCAACTTCAGTGACGTAGCTTCTTACCTGCCTCTGTGGCAAGAACATGTGCATGTATGTTTTCCCATGTGCATTTTTGTGTACCCTCTGTACAAACAAGGGGGAACGGCTTGGAGCAGCAGGTGGGGCTGGTGAAAGGACCTATGGCTAGCACTTGGGGTCCAACATGGACAATAAGGCTTAGAGATAAGTGAGTGGTAGGAACCTCATTCCACCCAGTGGGGATTTGTGGCTGAGCAGAGAAGCTAAAACTATACCACTGGTTTCTGTTTCAGTTTGAGGGATTTAGATGAGCCCTAACTAACTTCTTGTTTTTGGTATCTTGGGCAAAGTCTAAAGGAATCACAGAATATTAAGACTGACAGTGTATCTTTGGCGTTAAGCTAACTCAAGTATCATTCTATACAAAGCAGGAACACCAAGAACAGACCCCTTTCTATGCATATCCATTATTGAGGAAAAGAACAGTACTTGATTATCTCTAATGACAGAGAAATTACTACAACACTAGATACTCCCTTCTTAGAAAATGCTTTTGTATATTAAGTCAAAATTTGCCTCCTTTAACTTTCAACTCTTTGGTACCAGTTCTGTCTCTAGAGCCTTACAGAGTGAGATCCCTTTTCTATATGGCAGGCCTTCAAGGGGCTGAAGAAAGCAAACACACCTCCGTGGTCTTTATTCTCTAGAGGAAATGACCCTCAAATGACAAGATTTCCAGTTCTTTCAAGTTCTTACTAGATCTGCTGTAGACATGTAATTTCTCCAGGTTTCCTATTTCAGCTCAAAGCCTAAGGACTCTTCAGGAGTAGTTTAAAGTAAGGTGGAATAGGATGACCAAATTCTCCTTTTATTGAAACTATGCCTCTAAAAATGCAGCTAGCATTTTTCTCAGTAGCCACAACAACATTATTAATGTTTATTCAGTTTAATCTAACCATAGCCTCTGCTAAAGTAATATCTCTATGTATTTCTATAAAATTTCAGCAGTTCCATTTTGTCTATATTTTCAGTATTTTAAGGTTTTCATGAATCTTATTTTTAATAATTTGTAAGTCTGACAAAGTCTTCACTTAGGATGCCAATAAATATGGTGGGAAATAAAAGATTAAATACAGAGCTTCTTGGTTCTCTGGAGTGAGATGGTAGTCAACTCTTTCTGACCACAACCATTTGATGAATCTACCTAATTGTAGAGCTACATCTCTCTACTTTGTCTTAAAATACAAGAGTCTATTAAATATGTTAGTTAAATGCAGGTACTTAGTAAATATAGGTCACCATCCCTGACTTCCAAAGGTAAAAGACCAGCAAATCACAAAATACTGGTAAGTATCACTTGCTCTTAGTGAACCTATAATCATCAACCTTGACTCACTGTTAAGTTGTTGGGCATATAACTCTCAGGTGTACTCTGAGGTATACAAAGATGAGGCCTCAGGAAAGGCTGTATGAATGCAGAACAGGGGCACAGCTAGACCCCTAGAAAGGAAGTACCAACATAGGGTACTAGGAATATGTCTGTGGGCCTAGAAAGCCGTATCTTCTACAAAAAAGAGAGAACGATGTACAGAAAAAGGTTCCTGGGTATCTTGTACTGGCCTGAACTGTACAACTTTTCTTGAACTATTTTGTACAGCCCTAACGATGGAGTATTTCCCATTTATACACACTCCCTGAGATGGGTATGACAACTTACGTCTCTCCTAGGAAAGGTGCTCAGTAACTTGAATTCATCCCATGGAAATCCTTTGGAAGCTACGAAATCAAAGACAATCTGGAGCTTATTGCTGGCCAGGAAACGACGCTCCAGGAACTCGCCACTGGGGGTCCGGATCCGCAGTTTGCTCACTGGCTCGGCATTTTCTTCCTTTGGCTCTGGAGGCAGGGCTTGCTCTAAAGAAAGCCGGATGGCCTACGTAGGACAAAAATCAGGTGTTAAAATGTGGGATGGATGGGGGGTGTGTGTGTGTGTGTGTGAGGTACGATGGAGATAGGAGAGGATGAAAAGAAGCTGCTGCTTTCTAAAAATTCATCAAAAAGTCATTGCTCCATTTATTAACCAAGCCAAAAGCTCAACAACAGAATTGTGTTTTTCATTTCTTAATATTAGCGCACTAAACAAGACTCTGGCCTCAGAATCAGCGCTTAAGGCACGCGGATCTGGCTGAAAAGCCCATGAGAGTATTTCAGGCATGGAAAGCCAAGACACTCTGGAAAAACAAACAAACAAACAAACCAACCCAAAACAAAACAAAACAAAAAAACCTAAATGAAAGATCTCCGTGAGTGAGATCCCAGTGGAAAGAACAGGTCATCAAAGAAGGAGGTACCTTTCTCTGAAGGGAGGAGAGAACTTCCACTTTGACTATGACCTTGTCTAAATATGATCAGAGTCGGTGAACTCAAAAGGTTTCCATAGCCTTGGCAACTCATGACAAGAGCCTAGGGAGATTACTGATGCCAGAAACAAGAGTGTCAATTTGTTAAGTCAACAACAGGAGTCACTGTGCACTTACTCCTCATGCAGGTTCTCTGTCCTTAATGTGCTGTACATTGTGATTTAATGCTATAACTAGTACTCAAACAGTATTTTTCACTTTGTGTTTCTATGTGGGTGCAAACTGTTGAAATCTTTACTTAATATATGCTAAACTGATCTTCTGTATACAAAGAGAATTGAAAATGAATCTTGATGTGAATGGAAGGGGAGAGGGAGAGCGAAAGGGGAGGGTTGCCGGTGGGAGGGAAGTTATGGGGGGAGGAAGCCACTGTAATCCATAAGCTGTACTTTGGAAATTTATATTCATTAAATAAAAGTTAAAAAAAAATTAGCCCAACAAGCAGTTAATTAAAATAATCCCGTATTAAATTGATAGGTAACTACATCAAAAAGAAAGGCCGGGCCGACGCCGCAGCTCACTTGGCTAACCCTCCGCCTGCGGCGCTGGCACCCCGGGTTCTAGTCCCAGTTGGGGCACCAGATTCTGTCCTGGTTGCCCCTCTTCCAGTCCAGCTCTCTGCTGTGGCCCAGGAAGGCAGTGGAGGATGGCCCAAGTGCTTGGGCCCTGCACCCGCGTGGGAGACCAGGAGGAAGCACCTGGCTCCTGGCTTCAGATCGGTGCAGTGCGCCGGCCGAGTGGCCATTTAGGGGGTGAATCAAACCGAAGGAAGACCTTTCTCTCTCTCTCTCTCTCACAGTCTAACTCTGCCTGTCCAAAAAAAAAAAAAAAAAAAAAGTCGGTTTTTTATAACTAAAGAACTCAGATAATTGTGAACAAGTAAACAGCCAACTGCTTCCTTTCTTTAGTATGAATTAAGTCCTCTAGAAATATTCATGAAAAATATACATGCAAATATTTATATTGGTGAAAACACATTTCTCAAGTAGAAATAACTGAAGAGTTTGTAGAACTTTGCATAATATGTTAATGTCAAAATAGAATGGAAAGATTCTGTTTAGCATGGTAAAAATTTTTGGAAATAGCGGTGATGGATTTATGACGATATTGTGAATATAAATACTATGAATGCTATTGAATTTGCACATTTTCTAAAAAAGATTTATTTATTTATTTGAAAGTCAGAATTATAGAGAAAGAGGGAGAGACAGAGAGAGATCTTCCATCTGCTGGTTCACTCCCCAGATGGCTGCAATGGCTGGGCTGAGGAAGGTCGAGGCCAAGAGCCAGGAGCCTCAACCGGGTCTCCCATGTGGGTACAGGGGCCCAAGCGCTTGGGCCATCCTCTGCTGCTTTCCCAGGAGCATTAGTAGGGAGCTGGATCAGAAGTGGAGCATCCAGGACTTGAACTGGTACCCAAATGGGATTCCAGTACTACAGGTGGCTTAACCTGCTACACCACAGTGTCAGCCCCCTAAATCTGCACATTTGAAAATGTCAGATATCTGAAATATATATATTTCATCTCACTTTAAGTTTAAAAAAAAAAAAGGAACAAATTCAAATAACAGGTTTTCTGAAAGCAGGAGACCACTGTCCTAGTTCCAGCTTTGCCACTAACTTGCTATGGGATTTGGTCAAGTCTCAGGATAGTTTTCTGCACCTATGACCAAACCCCTCATTTTACATTTGTGAATACTGACTCAAACAGGTCAGATAAATTGCCGAGAGATCTCACAGTTATAGCTAGGCTTAAACTCAAGTTTCTTAGATCTCAATCTAAAGTACTATATTCTTTCACATTCATAACATTTCATTGGAAGGAAGTTACAAGTTTATAATGGGGGCTGGCACTGAGATAAAGAGGGTAAAGCTATCGGCATTCCATATGGGCACCAGTTCAAGTCCCTGCTCCACTTCTAATCCAGCTCCCTGCTGACGCACCAGCGAAAAGCAGCGAAAGATGGCCCAAGTGTTTGGGCCCATGCACCCATGTGAGAGACCAGGATGAAACTCCTGGCCTCAGCATGGCCCAGCAGTGGCTATTGTGGCCATTTGGGGAGTGTGGCTATTGTGGCCATTTGGGGAGTGAACCAGTAGATGGAAGATCTCTCTCTTTCCCTCTTTCCTGCTTCCTCTTTAACTCTGCTTTCAAATAAATAAACAAATCTCTATTAAAAAACGTTTATAAGGTCTATGAAGTCCCTGCCTATATTGGAATCCATGACAGAAATTCACTAAATTCTATTTTTGCTCCTAGCAGCCTGAGAGGTCCTGTAGGTGAAGAAGTCTGGTATTAGCATGCTCTGCTTCACAGTAACAGTCTGTCCAGTGCTGGGCCAGGCTGAAGCCAGGCGCCTAGAACTCAATCCAGATCTCTCACGTGGGTGGCTGGGACCCAACTGCTTGAGCCATTACCTCTGCCTCCCGAGGTCTGCATTAGTAAGAAGTTGGAATTGGAAGTGGAGTAAAGACCCAAACCCAGGCACTCTGATATAGAATGTGGGTATCCTAAGTAGTGTCTTCACATTGCACTAAACACCCTCTCCCAAGTAATGTTTTAAAAACATCTAGCAAGTGCTGACACATGGTCAGTACTCAATAAATGAAAAATGCTGGGGTCGGCGCTGTGGTGCAGTGGATCAACGACCTGACCTGAAGCGCCGGCATTCCATATGGGCGCCGGTTCGAGGCCCAGCCGCTCCACTTCCTGTCCAGCTCTCTGCTATGGCCTGGGAAAGCAGCAGAGGATGGCCAACTCCTTGGGCCCCTGCACCCACCTGGGATACCCAGAGGAAGTTCCTGGCTCCAGATTGTTGCTGTTGCGGCCAACTGGGGAGTGAATCATCGGATAAAAGACCCCCCCCACACACCTCTCTCGGCCACTCCTCTCTGTGTAACACTTTCAAATAAATCAATAAATCTTTAAAAAAAAAAGAAAAAAGAAAAATGCTTAGGATCAATTCACATGCTGTATAACACTGTGATCAACAAATGACAGCTATTGTTGTTATTATTATTTTTGTTATGATTATTCCTTTGTACCTACTTTTAAAAATCAAAACAATGTGATATTTCCTGATTTTTCTCCTATTCTTCCTTTAATCCACCTGTCTATATGCTTTCTATTTTGACATTTCCCTGCACAGTACAACAACAGATGCTACATTATTATCTGAACTCAACCAATTATATACTACAGAAGAATAAACAACAGTAGCTCATTGATTCATTCAATGTGCAGACAATATCTGCTACTCAATGTATGCAGTCTCTGGGGCTTTTTACTAGTAAGAAAAAAGACCTCAGATACCCCACACCAATAGAACCAATGTGGAAAACAATGCTGAGACATAAGGTAAGCCAGCAACCTTGGGATCTGAATACCCAACTGTTTCACTGGCCAAAAGGCTAAAAACACATCAAGAGTTTAGTTTCAAATATGATAGTTAAAAACAAAGGCCTTCAGCCCTCTGCTGTGGCCAGGGAGTGCAGTGGAGGATGGCCCAGGTGCTTGGGCCCTGCACCCCATGGGAGACCAGGAAAAGCACCTGGCTCCTGGCTCCTGCCATCGGATCAGCGCGCTGCGCCGGCCGCAGCGCGCCGGCTGCGGCGGCCATTGGAGGGTGAACCAACGGCAAAGGAAGACCTTTCTCTCTGTCTCTCTCTCTCACTGTCCACTCTGCCTGTCAAAAAAACAAAAAAAAAAAACAAAAAAACCAAAAAAAAACAAAGGCCTTATGTAAGCAAACACTGTTGTAAAATGACGACACAAAGGGCACCTACACTCAAACAGCAGTCACAGTAAACACTATTGTTAAACTTCTATTTGATTTGCTCAACAAATAGTTTTTTATTTGCATTATTTTAGACTTGTAATAAAACAAGGAAACCTGGTGTAAGTTAGAAACATGAACTGATCCTGGATTTTTTGTTGTTGTTTTTATAGAAGTACCTGAATACTTAAGCATTCACATGAGGGATGAGAAATAGGGACACTGTTTGAAATGAAATTAGGCAGTGAAAAAGATACACAAGAAACACTGTTTCTACATATTTTCCTTTTAAACAGAAATCATAATATACAATTTTCTTACAATAAAAAGCAAAGACTGGTTTAAACATATACAATCACACTCAAATACATGCACACACACAGGCCTCTAGGTTTCTATGAGCATATACTAAACAACAATTAGCAGCTGGCTAACACTTTGTGTTAAATAGGCTAACACCTATTTACTGTGCACCTTCTATGTATCAAGCCTGATTCTAGATGATGAGAAAACTGCAGTGAACAAAACAGATACCAATTTTTGCCTACACGGATCATATATTCTAGTAGTATGTAGATTAAAAAAATGAAGTCAGATTAAGGAAAATATATAGCTATCACATAATGATGAGTACCATGGATGAGTGCAGGAAATGTTGGCAGAAGGAAGGGAGAGCTATAATTTTAAATACTGCAATCCTCAGTATGAAAAGGCCTAAAGGAGAGAGGAAGCCACGT